CGACTAGCTCAGTGACTAGGGCAAACGCAGCAGTAGACTCAAAGTCAGGGTCAGTGACGACAGTAGCGAGGAGACGAGTGACATTAGGACTGGCAGCACGAGTAAGGTCGGACTCAGTGTCAGGAAAGTGCGGAAGAAAGGGCGCGGGAGGCTCAGGCAGGATAACACGCTGTGGAACAGAGGAAGGACGAAGTGCCATACCGTGAGTGCCTGGGACAGCAGGAGGACGAGGAGGGGCGACACGACGAGCACGAGCAGGTGTGGAAGCACGAGTCTCAGGCTCACGACGCGCAATCAGGGACTCAGTCACCTCAGTGTGAGGAGCAGGAGCGGGCAGTGGGGAGCCATGCAGTAGCTGTGGCTGAGACTGGTCTGCCGGTGGACACAGGAGAGGTGGAGTGAGGCCAGTGGAAGAGGGGAGACTAAAGAACCTGGCGAAGGGCCGAGTCAGGCGGCAGCAGGGACGACTGCGGCTGCGGGTAGAAAAACGGTCGGCTCAGCGCAGAACCCGTACCGTCAGCAGCTCTAGCACCTCCATTACCTCCAGCTCCAGCACCTCCAGTAGCACCTCCAGCACCTCAAGCACCAGCAGCACCACCAGCTCCGGCAGCTCCAGCACCTCTAGTACGAGCACCTCCAGGACCAGCACCTCCAGCACCTCCAGTACCACCAGCTCCAGTACCTCCAGCACCAGCAGCACCACCAGCTCTGGCAGCTCCAGCACCTCTAGTACGAGCACCTCCAGGACCAACAGCTCCAGCACCTCCAGGACCTCCAGTACCACCAGCTCCAGCACCTCCAGTACCTCCAGTACCACCAGCTCTAGTGCCTCCGGCACCAGCAGCACCTCCAGCACCAGCAGCTCCAGCACCTCCAGCACCACCAGCTCCAGCAGAACCTCCAGTAGTACCTCCAGCATCACCAGCTCCAGCACGTGCAGCACCTCCAGCAGTACCTCCAGTACCTCCAGCACCTCCAGCACCAGCAGCTCCAGTAGTACCTCCAGTACCAACAGCTCCAGCGTCTAGGTAACTCCAAGCTCCAGCACCAGAGCGGCCTTGCCGAACAACCCACTCACGAAGCTGCTGCGGTGAGGGTGTCTTGAGTCGACTAGGTGGCTGCTGCTGTCCAACACCAGGACCTGCAGCATGAGCACCCACGGCCCCTCCACCACTAGGACTCGCAGCACCCCCAGTCTCAGCACCCCCAGAACCAGCACCCCCAGTCTCAACACCCCCAGGACCAGCACCTCCTGCGTCCTCACCCCTAGTGTCACCACCCCCAGCAGCACCAGTGTCCACAGCTACAGGCTGTAGAGGTGGTGAAGACGGTCGAGGCGGAAAAGGAGGGGTCTCCAAGCGTGGAGAGCGACGAGTGGCCACCGTGTCGTCAGCAGCAAGGTCACCCCCCTCAGTCGGGCCAGAGGAGTCAGAAGAGATCTCCAAAGGCTCAACCAAGGGGGGTGGGTCTACGTGAGACACACCTGAGGGACCAGGACCCTGTGGGGGGAGGGGGTCTACCGGGGGGGGAACTGGTACCAGGAAGAGAGGCGCCAGGGGGACCGGGTGGGACGCGTGCGGGTGGAGCCTGTAGAAACAGACCGACTCATCGAATGTGACGTCCTAGGAGGAGAACACGCGACGCGAGCGAGGGTGGTAAAACTGCCACGGCGGGGCGTCGGTGGGGAAACCCAGGAAGGCGCAGCGGAGAGTGCGAGGAGAGAGCTTGCTCGCGGTGGTATCGCGAACAAGGGAGAGCGCGCCCCAGACCCGAAACGCCGACGCATCGCCAACCTTTCCCGTCCAACGGAGTGTGGGCGGGGTCTCTGGCAAAGAGACACGGGGCCAGAGGTTGAGCTGATGCGCGGCGTATCGGACCGCAAACGGCCACAGAAAATGGGGAGCAGCCGCATGGATCATGGAGGTACGAGCAACCTCCATGATCAAGCCAATGCGACGCTCAGCAATCCCATTTTGATGCGGAGAGGCCGAAAGTGTGAACGACTGGACGATGCCCTCGTCTCTACAGAACTCTGCAAGGAGACCGGAAGAGAACTCACCGCCCCTGTCAGAGTGCAGACGCAGGACTGGAAGGTCCCGCCGAAACCGCTCGCGCAGCTGGTGACGAGTAGCGACGATCCAGGGGATCAAACCACCTCAGACGTCCGCCTTGCTGCGCAAGGGGAAGACCGTGGTGTAGCGCGTGTAGTCGTCAACGACCAGAAGGAAGTAGCGCTCCTGGTCCGTCCCATGGACGGAGGTCGGGCCCCACACGTCCATGTGGAGAGTCTGCAGAGGAGCAGTGGTCGGAGGAAACGAGGAGGAGTGAGGAGTGGCGCGCTGCCGCCCCTCAACGCAAGGAAGGCACGGCGGGGCAAGCGAGCGCGGGAGAGGGGGCAGGGATCTGGGAAGGCCAGAGACAAGGAGACGAGAGTGCATGTTGTGTAGACGCGGCAGAGAGGGGTGACCGAGGTGGTGGTGCCAGAGGAGAGTCTGGTGGGAGAGTACCCGACACGAGCACGACGCAGCGAGCTGACCAGACGTAGACACCTGACTCGACGCAGCAACCTGACCTGACGCAACCACCTGTGCAGACGCAGTGGTCAAGGTGTACAGACTGGACCCAGGCTGTCGAGTGAACGTAGCAAGGTGACAGCCAGTCCGGGAGCACGCTGGCCTTCAGGAGTAAAGGTGTCAACCCATACATCCTGAAGGACAGCGTTGCTCACAAAGTTCGTCGAGAACGAGGGGAGGTGGAGACCTGGAAGTGAGCCAGAAGAGACTGCCGGACACGGGAGGACAGTGGAGGCTCGTGCGACAACTGGGCTCCCAGAGGGGTCAGCCAGTGAGACTGGGACCGGTGCAGCGAGCGATGTGACTGTGGTGCAGTCTCGAAAAAGGCAACGAGACGCACCCGAGTCAAGTGTGAAGGTGTGCAAGGCCTCAGCTGAGGCAGCAGACTCACTAACACCTGTGACAGCAGACGTACTAGCACCTAGAGCGGCAGCAGACTCACTAGCACCTGGGGAAGGGGCAGCGATACCATCAGCGCAAGGCACACACGAGTAACCGGTACCCTCATCACTAATAACATCAACATACATAGCATAGAGTGCCTGGTTGATCTTAACAAAATCAAGAACAAACACATCTAATCCCTTCACCATCAGCTGCGCCCAGTTGGGGACAGCCTGCTCATCACCAGACTCGGTCACCCAGGCATCCTCGAGACGGCCGAATCAGCGATACTCCGTGTGCCCTGTCTTCCCGCAGGTCTCACCCTTCCGGAGGCCCGTGCGCCTGACATAGGAGCATCGAACAGTGCCCCCAGGGGAACCACGCTGGACAACCCACTCACGAAGCTGCTGAGGGGTGGGGTTGTCCGGGAGGCTCGGCAGGGCAGGGCGCAGCAGCAGCAGCGCTTGCAGCAGCAGTGGCAGCAGCAGCGCGCTTAACAGCAGCAGCAGCGCGTAGCAGCTGCGGTGCACTTAGCAGCAGCGCTTAGCAGCAGCAGGCTTAGCAGCGCGCTTAGCAGCAGCGCTCGGGCAGGGCGCAGGCAGGGTGCGCGCGGGGGTGCGCACGGGGTGCGCGTGGCGTGTGCACGGGCAGGGCCTAGGCCGGGCGCAGGCAGTTTGCGGGCAGCGAGAAGCGCGCTGGGCAGCAGGTGCGCTTCGGGCAGGGCAGTAGGGAAGCGCAGCAGCGCTTCGGGCAGGACGGAACGGTGGGCCCTAGCAAGTGTCGTAACCTACTCTAATAGCATGTTAAGATCTGAATGAGAGGAATGGTGTGAACTAGGAATGAGGGGGATACATATGTGACATAGTAGCATTGTATCCCCTCTAAGGTAAGCCCCACTACAGCCTACACAGAACAAACATATAATGTTTGACAGGAACGTCCTCAACTCCTTCCAGGTATCGCACTTGCTAACACATGTTGGTAGGGTGTCGGCAAGCATAAAAAAAAAACACAAATCAAGATCTGCAACGTTAGAATGGAGGGAAACATTGATTGGATCCTTCTATCAAGATCAACTCCGCGCGAATGATTGACAAGTCGGGGTGCACAACTAGATGTTGCCCGCGTTCGTCGTATAGCCAGGAATCAGCTCCTCAAGCAGGTAGAACGTATGCACACGCGGCTGCCCCTCAGTGTCACCCCCCTCCACAACCACGTTCATGCTGCAAGGTGAGCTGTAACGTGCAAGAAAACGGGTCATTTGTGTGCTCGCCCCAACCCCGAAATGCTGGCAGCAATCGTTGCAAACCATAGTTCTTTCTCTCACATGTCGTTGTTCTCATAATCTTTCTCTCACCTGTCGTTTGTTCTCACAATTTTTCCCTCATCTATCACTTATTCTCACAATCTTTCTCTCACATGTTGATTGTTCTCCCAATCTTTCTCTCACTTGTCGCTTTGTTCTCGCAATCTTTCTCTCACCTGTGGTTTTTTATCACAATTTTTCTCACCTGTAGCTTGTTCTCGCCATCTTTCTCTCACCTGTCGCTTGTTCTTAAAATTTTTCTCTCACCTATCGCTTGTTCTCACAATCTTTCTCTCACCTATTGCTTTTTCTCACAATATTTCTCTCACATGTCGCTTGTTCTCACAATTTTGTGCCGCACCTGGGACTGCACAGCCTTGAAATCCACCTGAGGTCTGGGTTGGGGGAGGGGGGTCACAGGGGGGAAGATACAGTGCACAGACAAGGCGAGAAACATATTGAAGGGTGAGTATATCAAACGTTGAACCCCGAAGCAGAATCTACCCTTGCGCTTCTGGAATAGGAGGTTGAGCGTATTCAATTCATTGTTGATGATTGCAAGGAAGAACATAGAGAAATGAAACTTCAGCAAAGTGACCAACCAGTACATCTTCCACAAGAACCAGCACCGCCAGCAGTGCTGAGTGCAAAACATGGTTCGCACATCAACCTGCCTCCTATTCGTCGTCGGTGAAGGAAAATGAAGTTATGTATGTTCTTGTGAGTGGTTGCATTTCATGACTGTTCATGATGTTGCCATGATCCCATATGGCCATGCCAGCCCTCCACTAGACCTGCGCCAGGACCTAGCAGCAGCAGCCATCACATTCTTCGTGTTGTCGCATCCTGCCTGTCACCCACCAGACCCGCACCAGGACCTAGCAGCAGCTTTTGCATTCATCATGTGCCTTCTCGACCGTGCCATCCATAGTGCAGTGCTCTCTGTGGTTAGCCTTTCGTTGATTCTATGCTAAGCCTTGCATTCCTTATTATCATTCATATGGCTCCCGCTGATAATGCAGGACCTGTCTTATGTCACAGATCAGATTCTTAAAGGCACTTGTGTGCTTGGACTCGGTTATTTACTATCCATTGTATATATTAGGAGACTCTTTAGCCAATAATGCATCTTTCTGTCCTTGTTTCTCTTGTTGTGTTGTTTGCTTGTTCCACCTCAACCACCCCCTCTCTCGCTCGCTCTTTCTGTTTCAAACTATCCACTGACTTTTCAACTCCTAATGTTAGTGCACATCCTTTCTTCTTCCAATCCATCCACTATATGGCCATCATCAGCCAGCTTTTACCATTCGTCTCCTAGACACATCATGAAAACATAAGCGCTCCTCGCCTCAAATAGCCTTTTCCCCTTACCACCCCTCACCATTTCCCTTTGTCTCCGATGGCCGTCCTCCTACCCCCCACCCATCTTTCCTCCCCCCTGCTCCACTCACCTTCCTACCTCCACTCACCTCTCCCATGTAACCCTACCAGACTGCCGCCATAAGCCACTCCGTCATATCTTCCTTAAGCCACTCCGTCATATCTTCCACACTCCTTTACACAGCCCAACCATTCCCCCTTCCCTCCGACCAACCATTCCCTCCTTCCCCCTCCTCTTCCCCACTAGGCAGCCACCAAGCCACTCCTTCATATCTTCCACACTCCTTTGCACGGCCCAGCCGTTCTCCCTTCCCTCCTACCAGCCATTCCTTACTTCCCCCTTCCATCTCCCCCACCAGCTGGCCACCATCATCCAGTTCTTCATCTCTCACACACCCCATCAACACAGCAGCCATTACTACTTTCCACTATACCAGCCATTCCCCCATTCCCCCACTCCCCCCTCCCAGACACCTCCATAAGGCAGCCACCATCAGCCAGTACTTCAACTCCTACACACTCCATCAGGATAGCTGTCATTTTTCCCTCCCCACCCCAACCCCCCCACCTCTGCTCATCTTCCCCGCCACTGCACCAGGCAGCCGCTATCAGCCAGTTTTTTACCTCTTATATACTCCATCAACAGAGCAACCATTTCTCCCTTCCCATCTTCCCCACCCCTCCACTCACCTTCCCCTCTTCCCCACACCTCCACCCACCTTCCCCTCTTCCCCACACCTCCACTCACCTTCCCCTCTTCCCCACACCTCCACTCACCTTCCCCTCTTCCCCACACCTCCACTCACATTCCCCTCTTCCACACACCTCCACTCACCTTCCCCTCTTCCCCACACCTCCACTCACCTTCCCCTCTTCCCCACACCTCCACTCACCTTCCCCTCTTCCCCACACCTCCACTCACCTTCCCGGGCCACACTACCAGGTGGCCACCATCAGCTAGTTCTTCGTCTTCTACACACTCCATCACCATGCCATTCCACACGCCCTTCCTCCCATCTCCTGGCCCCTACGGCCCTCATGTTCCCTGCCAAGACGATAAGCTTTGTGCCGACTTCCTCTCCCTTGCACCATGCCTCAAGGTGAGGCTCTGTGCACGAGGCATAGGTGGATTCCGAAGGTCAAGGCTATGAGCAGTGCATGCCTGAGCATCATGATCATCCCCATGCATCAACGTTTCTAGACCTTCAAGTTCCCATGCTCGAAATGACCCAATCCTCATGTCCATATGCTCCCAAGTCCGGAGATGCTTACATCCCTATATCCTTGTACCCTTGTTGTTTTTCCGTGCAGTGCATTGTATTCCTTTCCCCTCCCCCATTTTACCATGTCTCTGGCCTGCCGCATGACCTCATGCATCTGTCATTCGCCTTTGGCTAGTCTCCTTGAAAAGGTTGGTACATCCACGCTATGCCTCACGCCCTCACGTTCACATGATCCCATGCCCTCATGCTCCTATATTCCCAACCCTCATGCTCCTAGGCTCCCACCCCCCATACTCCCACCCTCTACGCTCCCACTCACCAAGTAATACATTTCCTTTGTTTTGTGCAGGTTAGGCTAATGTGGTCTTCCTGTCTCCCCATGGGATGGCACAGAGTGTATTGCCTATCAGAGTATAAGATAGAGAGCATGCTGCAACTAGTCAGCCCATACATACCGTGCTTGACTACGATTCTGCATTAGTACTGAAACCCATTGCTTTGCAACCACTGTGCATCAGGCATGTCCATCCCTCTATGCACGCATGCCAATGAGCCACCTCCCCACCCCCGAAGCACTCTTGTTTCCATAATCTTTCATCCTTCCCTCACTTCTAATGTTAGTGTTGTCTATATAATAGTTTACGAGCGCATTCCACCCTCCCAACTATGCCTTCGCCTTTTTCCCTTCCCCCATCTCCACCCTGCTGCAGCTCTTGCTAAGAAGCGCCCTCTCTGTGGCTACACACCTGCCTCGCAACACTTCCATCTAGGGCAACTCGGCTGTTCCATCATGCCTGATTTGAGAAGGCAACCCATGTCATTCTATGCTAGCATTGTATCGTATATCATGCTAATGTCGTGTGATGTTGCGCTAGGGTCGTGACGGTGTCGTATCATTCTAGGATCGTATTATGTCATCGTTGAGTTGTGTCATGTCTTGATATGTTCGTTCCATGTTGCTCTGCCTTCATATAGCCCTTCTGGAACGAGAAAAATAGCATTAGCTACTTGAAATGGTTGTTTGTTTCCATTTTATGCAGCAGATAGAGGGAAACTCCATTAGTACCATCACATCCCGGATAAAGGAACAGTGTGCCTATAATAAGTCCTGCGAAAATAGGGGGGTGCGCTTATAAATGGCAAATCCTAAAAGCTCATGGGACGCAAAAAGACATGTATATTTTCTATTTAATATATCAAACGGTAAGTCTCAGCGAGTCGAAATCATACAGGCTGGTGGGCGAATATCGTTCGAGAGACTGATTCTCTGCCAACGCTAATACCCGTATTGAACCACTTTCCGCCCTTTAGGCATATTCTGATTGATAACGGGAATGGAGTCTTGGCCCCGCCCTCGCTTGGGCGACGCCGACGTCCTGGTCAGATGCATGGGAGAAGCAGCCGACCGTACGCAGTGAAAGAGCTGCTCGACAGGCTTCGTCGAGCTGCAGGGGACCGCTGCGGTGTTGCCGTCGACCAAGGGAGTTCGACGGCCTTCTTCTGCGAGGCAGGTCGACGAGGTGGTCGTCGACCTGCACAGAACTGTCGCGGGGCTGGAGTCGTCAACCAGGGGAGCTCGACGGATGCAGCTGACTGAGCTGGTCGACAGACGGGTAGGGCCGTCGACCAAGAGGAGCAGCTGGCAGTGCTGATCGACGGAGGGGTCCGTCGACCAAGGTGTTCCTCGCCATGATTTGTGGTCGACGAGGGAGGCGTCGACCAGAGCACTGGGTGGTCGACCAGTCGACCGGGTAACCTGCTCGGCGAGTTCTACGGAGGCACGCGAACGTCGTCGAGGTCGCTGTGACGAAGGCGACTTCGGGCTGGTATCCCGAAGTCGATGTGGCTCGTCAAGCGCAGACCACGTCCGACAAATGCACAACGGTGCAAGTCGGGCCAATCGTCTGCGCGCACCTGCGAACGTGCGCACTGCTGCCATCTACGGGTGCAACGCTGGACAGCCGCTTTGCTGCAGCGTTGGCACGCCGTCGACCTGCTGTGTTGGCAGGTCGCCTTTCTGCAGTGCTGGCGCGGCTCCTCTACGCAACGCTGGGAGGCGGTCGACCATGCGGTGCTGGCGGCCAACCAGGCTAGCTGCAGGATTGCTAGGTGCCTGATGTAGTTATTTCTGTCATTGTCATTGCTATCATTCTGGAATGCAATCTTTGCCTAGTGGAAACTCTTGCCGATTTCTCCCGTGAATGCGCAAGTGCTAAGGAACTAAGCAAAGCTACGATCACTCCTAGAGTTCGTGCCAACACCCCGTGGTCTAGCTCACGACTATTGTAGAGTGACTCTCCTCATGGTGCGGTGAGCGTGGACGGCCCCGCAGATTACCTTCAGATAGGAGCCGACTTTTGCACCTAGTGAGTCGTTCGTAGGCCGGCAGCCGTTCTAGTCGCCATGGTCGACCCCGTAGTTGATGCGGGCGTAGCAAACACCTTGGAGGCACGATTGGCTGATGCGAGGAAACGCCACGCGGATGGCGAGTACGGGACGATCCCCTTGACGATCGCCGAGTTGGGCATCCAGGCGCAGTGGGCGACGGAGCACCCTTCCTGTCCTGCTTCTCCTCGGCCGGTGCGAAACGGAGGTGGCGTCGACGACGAGGTCGACGGCGGTGCACGAGTCAGCGGCAGCGATGACACGAAGAAGAGAGGGGTGATTAAGGTCGACGGTGGCATCGACGGGAATCACGCACGAGTGCAGCGGTCGTCGGCAGCCGCAGGCAGCTCGCAGGTCGAAGTTGATGGTCGACATTGCTCTCCTCTACGAAGCGGTGGAGGGCTCTCGGTGACGACGCACGTGACGGCGGGCAGGATCGCACCGGCGTATGGCTACTTCAAGTTTTTTCCGGACCGGATCATCGTCGCACCGTTGCAAGGTCGACGGTCCCTCATCACCTGGAGGGAGGTGATAGAACCTCAGCTGGAGGTCGCCGGGTTGAAGGGCTTTGCCGACGGCACCATGCCAATTCCGCTCAAGGACGATGTCGAGCTGCGCGGGAAGTTTCGTGTTGCTCACTTGCTCTCCTTCATGGTCATCTCGAGGTGCTGCTCGCCGGTGGTGCAGCTAGCGCTCATGTCATGTCGAGAGCGACTGGATGCTGGTCACCAAGCATGGCACTTCATCCTGTCGACGTACCAGGCGAAGAACGACCTGTACATCGGACAGCTGGAGGAGCAGATGACACACCTTCGGATGGGCGAGCAGGAGTCGGCTACGGACTACTGCAACCGCGCTCGACGGATCCTGGCTGAGATGCCAATGGCAGGCGTCGAATACTCAACGGCGTCCTACATCGCCCACGTCGTCTAGGGCTTGCAGCGCAACTACAACCTCATGAAGAGGATGATGATAGTGCCCGGCACGCGTGAGTCCCTCGACGAGGACTCCCTCACCAGCTATGCTATTCAAGACGAGGTTCTGCAGGAGGCAGAGCAGCCCACTGAGCTCCAACCGTAGGCGAGTTACGCTGCACCGACAAAGCAGAATCGTCAGCAGGGGCAGCGCGGGAAGCCGGACGGAGGTGGTAGCGGAGGTGGGCGGTCGACGAAGGACGTCGACGAGAAGAGGTCGACGCGGGACAAGGGCCGTGGAGGTGGTGGTCGACGGCGGGAGTGCTGGATCTGCCACGACCCCGACCACCTTTCCTACGAGTGCCCCGACCGTGACGACAGCGATGAGGACGACAACAAGGGAGGCCTCGGTCGGTCGACCAGTCGTCGCCCCCGTCGAGATGAGAAGTTGCGCAAGGAGAAGCAGACGTCGAAGAAGACGTCGTCAACGAAGGACGTCGACAACTCCAGCGGGAAGGGCCGAGGCGACGAGGAGGCGTCGTGCTCGATGGTCGGCTTGGTGGAGCCGACTGTCTCGCTGGCGCCGGAGGCTGGCGAGGATTTCCAGGCGGTGGCGGCAGCTGTGCAGGCAAACTCGATGGCGGTGCTCCTCGACAGCAGTTGCTCCCACCACCTGATGGGTACGAAGGCGGTCTTCGTCGACATGGCGCCGAGTGGCACTGTGAAGCACGTGCGTGGATTCATTGGGGCGTTGCAGCCCGTCGAGGGTCGCGGAACTGTCGCTCTGGAAAGGGAGGCCGAGATGCGGGTCCTCATCCCTGACGTGCTCTACGTTCTTGGCGTACAGGCGAACCTGCTGTCAGCTGGCCAACTGAAGGAGAGCGGAGCGCAGCTGCAGGGCGACGGCGACGAGATGCTACTCATCTTCGCGACTGGGGAAGTGCTCGGTCGAGCACGCTACACCGGCCGAGTCCTCTGCACCGACCTTCGCCCCTGCTCGACGCGGTCGCCGTCGACCGATATGGTGGCTCTATGGACGATCGCCTCAGCGACGAAGTCGACCCCCGACCGGTGGCACGCGAGGCTCGCGCACGTCGGCGTCGACACGATCAAGAGCTCAGCGAAGCATGAGGTTGCTACTGGGCTCGACATCAAGCCGTCGACCGGAGCGGACCCGCCGTGTGTCTTGTGCGTCGGAGGAAAGCTGGTGCGACACACCTTCCCCGACAAGGGCTCGGACGCCGAGGAGGCACTAGCTGTCGTGCACACTGATTTGTGCGGGCCATTTCTTGTGGCTGCGAAGGATGACAGCTTGTACTTCCTGCTGCTGAAAGATCGCCACACTCGGTTCATGTGGGCGATGCCGATCGCTAAGAAGAGCGACGTGCTACGGGAGTTTCAGCATGTTAGAGACTAAGGACGGAGTCTATGAAGATTCTGGGCCTAAATTTCTCAAAAATCGTTGGCTTAGAATTCTGAGCAGAAACGTCGAGTTCACAATAAACGCCGTCGACGAAAGGTGCTTTGTTACAACTTCACCAAACTCAGATATGTTGTAGCCCTAGTCCGTGTCTACAATTCCCAATTTGAATCGTACGTAAAGGTGAAGTATTTCTTGAGTTATGAATTTCGGCGCACTAGGGGGTATGCTGCCATCACAACTTATCTCAATCACAATTGTCTCACAAGTTTCACACAAGAAAGTTAGAGTAGCTAGAAACCAGGTAGGAGGGAAGAGGAGGACGAGAGGGAAAGTCCCCAAGGAGTCCCCAACCAAGGAAACCCCATGCCACACAATTCCCCTTTCTATAGGTACCCCAACTTTGATATTTGTCACTTTCCCAACCTCCACAATCCACCTCACCCAAGTTGGCCA